GAATAAGGTCATTAGATAGCCACAACACCTCCTCCCATGTAAGCTCTTTTACTTCTTTCTTTGACCCACTGCTGCTGCTGCTGCTGCTGCTGCTGCTGCTGCTGATGCTGCTGCTGCTGCTTCTGAAAAGACCAGATAACCAACTCTTCTCCTTTGCTGCAGGGGCCTCCTCCTGTAACTCATCTACTATAGGTAACGAATCGATAGCAGCACGCAGTGTACGTACCTTCTGTAGTTCTTCTTCACTCAGGCTCAAACCCTCAACAGCATCAATAGAAGGATATACACCCAGAGCAGGTGGGGGCCCCGTTGCTGTACACGACGCTGCTGCAGCTGCAGCAGCTGCAGCAGCTGCAGCAGCTGCAGAAGAAGAAGATGAATTGCGGGCGTCAGATGCAGAGGCAGAGCCAGAGGGGGCCTCGTGAGACGCAGGCAGCGTCTCACCCTCAACAAGCGCCATTGCAGAGCATAAACCCTAAACCCTAAACCCTAAACCCTCAATTATAAACCCTAAACTCCCCCAGAGCGTGAGTCGCAGCCGAGTTCAGGATACAGTGACNCTAAACCCTCAATTATAAACCCTAAACTCCCCCAGAGCGTGAGTCGCAGCCGAGTTCAGGATACAGTGACAACGTGCTGATGAAGCCGCATACAGCGCAGTTCGCAATATAAACTGATGAAAAGTTGAAAAATGACGAAAACTTTCAACTAAGAAAAAGAAAGCTGAACGAAGAAGCGACAATAAAGAAGAAACTTACAGCTTTCCGTCGCAGGTCAACAGAACGGCGGGGGAAGAACGCGAAAAAAACAAGGCGCGAGACCCGCCTGCAGAAGAGGTTTCCGGTGTTTCAGAACATTAAAAAGGTAAAATAAATGTTTTTAATCAAAAGAAAATGCATAAAGTAATTGTTTTCAGCAGCAGTCGCAATGCGTCAACTCGCCTGACCGGAAGCTGTACAGTGGCTCTGCGCCGCGGGGTCCTGCGGCGTGCAGAAACCTGAACATAAAGAGGGAAAGCTGAGGTTTTTGTTTGAATGACTCTTTTAATTTTGAGTTAATAAAAAGAATAAAACATTTTATTATAATTTACAGGATATCTATTCTCCTATAGTTTATAAAACCACCCATACGCGGCCCCACCCCTGGGACTTCACCCGCATGCGGTGTATATACACTCGAAATGCTACACGTGCTGTGGCTGTTTTTTCTTCTCTTCTCCCAAACGTAACAATAGAAACTTTATGCTCTGGGGGCTGAAAGAGCTCGTTGCTCCTGCTGGGAGCCCTTCATGGAGTGTCTGTACACCTCGAGTGCGGCGCCCCATGTAGCAGGCATCTGAACTTTCTCTGCATTTTTGTTAAAATGAAGGAGCTTCTGATGCTTTGTGATGCTGACGCTGCAGCTGGCGATACACTGCAGCCTCTTGTCCTCCTCAGCCTCTGCACCCGCACCCGCCGCATCGAAGCTGCAGGCCGCAGCTTTCTGCAGCAGTATG